AAAAAAAAAGAAATCTTGCCAACTATTAGGGAGAGATAAACATTTAGGATCCTAAATTCTGAAAGCAACATATGGTCTTATAAAAGTACATAAGACAGTAACATGAATATCTTCAAGTTTTAATAAAAGCAAAGAATGTTCTCATGATCTCAAAGTAATCAACCTTGACAAAAATTAAAATGTCTTTTAACCTTTTATTTATTTATTTTTTTTTTGGTCAGGGGATATAGATGATGGATGGAATTGAGTTCCATGTATGTATGCTGGCTTCACGTGCTGCAATTGGAAACCAGTTTAGAATAGCAAATGATGTAAATATTTAGTAAATTTCTTATCAGATTATTCAAGCTTACTTTGATGGCAGAGGTCTTGAAGTTATAATACATTTTTAACACCCTCAATGAGTTCCATAAAACAACCATGTATTTGATTCCATTATATAAAACATTTCTTAAGATATACTCCAGGAAAATAGAGTATATCTACTCAGAAATACAGCTGTCATGAATGAAAATATGCTTTAAGAATCCCCACCTTCCACATGGCATTGTTCAAAAAGACTTTTAAAATTGAAAATAAGGAAGAAATGTTCTTTTTAATCACAAATAAATGTTTACTTAGAAGAATTTTCAAGAAATATAGAAGTGGTGGTCACAGACACAAGTCTGTGATCCCTAGTCAGAAAGCTGAGGCAGGAAGATGGCAAGCTGAAGTCCATCCTGGGCAATTTAACAAGACCCTGTTCTCAGAATAAAAGATAAAAAGGGATGCAAATGTAGACAGAGTGTCCTGGGGTTCAATCTCTAGTAACACACACACACACACACACACACACACACACACACACAAATACAGATATGCATAAAGTAAAACACTGAAAGTCTCAGCCTGCCCCATCTGATCAATTTCCTATAACCCAGAAATAGTTACTACAACAGTTTGCTGTATAAAACTCCAGACTTTCTATATAGAACACATTTTACACACATACTCACTTAAAAATACAACTGTTAAAATGTATTCCCATATAAACATTCCAAAATATGTTGTGGCTTGAGAGAATTGCTGTACTTTCTAAATTTCTTTACAATACATTTGTTTTATTTTTACTACCAAGTAAGTATAACATTTTTAAGAAAACAAAGAATAAGAACTTGCTACACAACTCTCTAGAAAAACATAAACAGCAAATGCAGATGGTGGATGAACTTTTACAAGGAAAAGTTATAGCCCCACATCATTGAAGTTAAATAGTCCAGATCAAAAAAGAAAGATCAGAAAAGGAGACTTGATGTTTACTTCCACCCCAGAAGGGAAATATTTCTTTATATATTGCAGGTCTAGATCTATGTTTTTATAGCCATGAGTATGGTTATAGTTTTTCATTGAGAGGAACCAAGGTAAATCAACCTGCTACCTCACCTGCCAGTTTAAAAATACCAGGCTGTCAAGTCAGAATCCATGTATACATAATGAGTTTGTAAGGAGATGTAAGACTATTTGAAGAAACAAATAATTTTTTTAAATAGTTTAAACRTTTGCTCAAAATTTTTCATTTGTGCAAGAATAAGGTTGATTTTACTACATGAATTATGGGATCTTTGAGCTGAAAGTTACTTTAGAAATCCTGTGAATAACCTCTAAATCTTCCAGCTAGGGAGACATCAGAAGAAATTAAGTAGTTTAGGCTGGTCAMCAAGGACCTAGTGAATGGGAATTAGAATTCAAATATACAGATTCCTGACCCAAAGGAAGAAAAAAAACAACAAAGGAAAATGTGTCGTCTCCTGAATGTGAGGAGAGGGATTAAACTCTGCCTCTCCTGGTGATTTAACAGCAACAAGATGGGCCCAGAAAACCAAGACTGAGATCACAGGTTCACTTTCAGGAGCAGGTCATACAAGGTTTTGATAATGRAAGAATGGACTAAAGGCAATTATTCTAGAATGGGGCCCAAAGAGAGGAATTCGTGGGTATAAGCAAACCATCAGCAAAAGGACAGGCCTAAGAATGTTCCTCAGTCCTGGAAGCCAGAGCACTGACAGAGATCCAAGAGACTAGCAATTCACACAAGCCCAGGTAAGCAGGAATGGTAACAGTAAGTCAAGGCAGCCAGGCCTTCGGTGGGAATGGTTCACTGCCTTGTCAGCCAACTGTTGAGGAAGATTTCCTCTTGTACCTCACTGGTTAGTCTCTCAACATTGGGCTTAAGGACCAAAGCAGAAGGGCACTTGAAGAGAAACAGGGAAGCTACAAAGTTAGTACAGGTGTATAGCCTCCAGCCAAGACCTAGCTGAGGAAGGAGGCAACACAGCAACCTACAGCAAGAAGACTGAAGAGGAAGGCATGAGTCTGGGTCTTTAATCTGCTCAAATGGCCTTCTGCAGGAACTCCTTTCCACAGTCAAGATTTGGCTTGTTACATGAGAACACACGTAGTCCACCTCTAACCATTAAAAGAGCCCACCGAGAAGAGCTATGATTCAACAAGCTTAAAGGTGGAATAGGAAATAATAAGAAGGATATTTTTGAGTTACCAAGTTAAGATTGGTTAAAAAAAAAAGATCTCCAGCTAGAGGAATAAAACTATTTTTAAAGAAATTTGATAACTTGTTGTGAACTAATAATTATCTCCTATCTACATTTAGGTGGTAAATTAATTTAAGACTTTTAAAAAAAGAAAGAAAGAAGAAGAAAGTTAAGAAAGCTGTACTAACATGTGTCTTGGATAAACACTGCACAGTTTATTTTATTGCCACCACCAAAAGGCTCATTGTGTGATTCTTATCATGCTTGTTAGCAGCATATACAAATTTTAAATCAGGCTATTAATAAAGGCAAATAATTCTCTTATAAATGGTGAAATTTTATACCCAAAAGAATGAAGAGTCAGTAAGCAAAACAACATCCCACAGAAGCAGTGTTTCATCTACTATTATATCCTTCCCATGGAAATCACCTGAGTCATGGTGGTGCTGTGTTGTCCTTTAACTAGGATGGTGAARACTCATAATACTTTGAAATCAGTAAATGTGCCAAAGACATATGAGCAAACTTCTAGTTCTGGTCTAAAACATTTTTTAACTTAAGAAATCTACCCAAAATCTCCTAAAGATGACCTAATCAAAAAAGTTTCATTACAGAGGAGAAACAAAAGTACATGGAGATCTCAGGATCAAATGGCATTCTCCACTGTGGCTGGCCTCTGTCCCACTCTGTCACTCACACTTACGTGCTATTCCCCAGTCTCTTCAGAAATATGTCATGATCCAMACCAAAAGATAAGACTTTTACAGAACCTGCAAGCCTTTATAACAATAAAGTGAACACAAACTTTTTATTCCTTTATCATCAAGAAAGTTTTTACTTTTCAAAAGGACGTTTTTAATAAGCCCTATCATCCAGGGACATCTAAAGAGAAATGAATCCCACGAATTTTTGAAAGACTGGCACTGGCACAAGTCTGTAAATACCAGCAGCTCAGGAAGCTGAAACAGGAGGATTGCAAGTTCAAAGCCAGCCTCAGCAACTTAGGAAGACCCTAAGCAACTCAGCAAGACCCTGCTTCTAAATAAAATATAAGAAAGGGGCTGAGGATATGGCTCAGCAGTTAAAGATCCCTGAGTTCATTCCCTGGTACCAAAAGAAAGAAGAAAGAAAACCATTTTGCACAACACTTTGCTTATGGAATGTGATTCAATGGAGTTTTACTTGGCCATAAAGATAAATGAAATTATAGAATTGCCAGTAAAGGAACAAAACTGGAGAATATCATGTTAAGTGAAATAAGCCAGACTCAGAAAATCAAAGGTCAAAAGTTTTCTCTCATAGAGCAGAAGCTACAGCACAGTAAGAGAAAAAGCATAGGGGGATCCAATCCCACAAGAAGACGTAGATCAAAGGAGTAAAAGAAAGCAATTGAGGGGGGAAGAAGGAGGGACAAGAAAGAGGAGTAAATGCAGAATGAATTTGATAAAATTATGCTATGTACATGTACAAATATGCCACAGTGAACTCCACCTTTCTGTGTATCCATAAATCAACAATTAAATAAATAAATAAATGGAAGACCAGTAGAGTTGAGGAAAGGGAATGGGGGAAGGAAAGAGGAAGCACTGGAGCCTGAAATGGAGCAAATTAAATTCCACACATGTATGATTATGTCAAAAGGAACCCAACTAGTATACATAACTATAATGCACTGGATAGAAGCATAAATTTTTTTTTCATTTAATTAGTCTGAAGTATCATGGAAAAAAAGAAAAAGAAAAAAAAAGTGATATTCTGAACACTGAAACATGAACATATCTCAAGTTCCAGTGGCTATGATTTCAGGTCCCTCCATATTTTTAAATACACTAGCTATTATTGCCTCTGAGTAAGGAGAAAATCAATTATTTTTGTGTGTTGATCTCTGAAGAAGGGCTCAGAACATACAAAGCCCAGTTTCTCTATATATCTACTTCTCATTCAAGAAAAAGTTAAAATTTGAAAACAGTTAAATACAGAAATCTATTTTGATTTTTAAATGAGTGGTATTTGTTGGGAGCACGGGTTCGTTTTTCATACCCAACCATATCTAACAAATAATTTGTTCAATTTTTTTTCTTTCCACTGAGAGACTTCATTCAGTCATCAAACTGATTTAGTTTTATTTGTTATCCTAAATCATATAACCACTTTATAGTTTGAGCCACACACATATTAATACCATGAAACATCCATATATTTTTAAAAATTGATGGACTATACCTTTAGCATATTTTCAGTGCTAAGTGAGATAATAAAACTTCACTGGGGGAAATTATAAAATTGAGGCCAAAACCACAATACATTTCTTAAATTATAAAGTAATATTGCTTGAACAAGACCTTTGAATTGGTTTTGGAGGCTTGGATAACTCTTTATACACAGTCGTAAGTTTATTCGATTTCAGGCTTTTCTTCCATTTCATCATCTTTCTCTTGGGAAAAACAATGTAAGTAATGCCAGCTTTTTTCGATGCTTCAATGAGAGACAGAGAGATGTCTTCAAAAGTGCTGTTATCCGGAATGCTCTCTAGGAGCTCAGTAATATGTGCTCTGATGAAAGGGGCCTGGGCCTTCTTTTGCTCAGCAAACTGGAGCTCCAACGCCCTTCTTTTCTGGTACATCAACAGTCTCAGGTTGCTTTGAATATCATCCTTTAGTTCTAATGATTTGGTGGTGAACTCCTTTCTCAATTCAACTGCAGATTTTGCTCTCTTAATAGGAAAAAATGAGGTAAAAAATATATACGATCAATTAAAATTAATTTGGCTATAGTTACTAAAACTATAGCACTGTTTTGAAAATGTTTTAAATTGGGTATTAATGAAAAGATAGAAAAGACATACAGTAAAACAGGCAAACAGTTAAGAAAATGAGCCCGATAAAGGCTTCTCTACATGTAAAGGCCACTCCATTAGACTAACCTGTAGAAACAAATTCCAAACATTCCATCCAACTCCTTGGTCACAGGGCAGTGAGCAAAGGTAAGATAGACCGGAGCGAATGCTACAGACTCAAGCTAATTAGCATAGATTTTGCCCAATAACATTGGTATCATAAACATTGATAAAATATTGATTATCATAAATATTGATGGACACTACTACCCAGTAGCTACATCACCCGCTAGACTAGTACATTTAAGTGGCAACCCCAATCAGGACCCCAATTGGGTCCCTTCTCGCCCTGAAGAAGCTCTGTCTCTTTTCTTCTCKCTTGAATAAATCCTACTCTTTTACGATTACTCGTCCATGTCTGTGGATTTCATTCTTYAAATTCATGAGACARGAACCTTGAAAGAAGACACCGGCTGGCAGCTGGGGTCTGCTGCAACACTACAACAGCAGGAGCTGAAAATCTGGTCAATTATACATTAATCATTGAAACTCTAATACTCATTGTTCAATAAAAGAACACAAATTTCTAATCCTTTGATATATCATTTYCTGCCTATTGAAGCACTGTCAACAAATTTATAGCGTTTCATTTTGCTAATAAACAATTTGTTATAGAGAGATCTTTTTATAGTGAATTTAGACCCAAATTCCAAACAACAATTTCATACAAGCTAGTTATGTATCTAAAACGTACTAAAGAATAATAGAGATCTTGACCATCCATGATATTATACTCCTCCATCTCAGGAAACTATATTTGACTCAAAATGTAATTAGAATAGAGACTAAAATATGAAACATACATGCATGCATTTGGAAAAAAATGTAAGGCAATTATTATTGGTAGAAATATAAACATCTATTTTGGATAATAAAARCTGAAATTACAATACCTTCAATTGTGCAGACTGTGTACTGAAACATGTTTTAATATTTTCAAATGATGCAGATTTTTTTAGTAAGAAAACCTGCAAAATAATTGAATGAGAAATACATATTAACCGTAGACATAAACTAAAATGTCATATGATAGTTGGCTAATAATAATTGTGTAGGTAAATTAATGAAATGTAGAAATACTAATTAAAACATAGGTTCTTACTGACTTTGAAGTCGCTGACTTCTTGAAGAGGAACAGGATTCAAAGTGCATCCTAATTAACTTAGCAAAGTATATAATAAAGAAAATTATCTTATTAATTCTCTAATCACAAGCAACCTCAACTTTTTACTTCAGGGGACCAGATAAATATTATATATTATTATAATGGCACCAAGAATAGGGATATTATATTAAAAGAGCTGAAACTGGAGTGAAAAGTATAAAGGAAATGTTATGTTCCACGCTTTCAGACAGGATAACAGTGCAAACAGCAAGAGATATAGCTGTAATCAAAAGCACCTGTGGCAATGACTGTAAAGATGGCACAGATCAGGTGTAAAGAGAACACAGAAGAGGGAGAAACCAGTTCTGAACAGGTGGAAATCTGGATAGACCAGCTTAAACAGGAAGCATCAGAACTACTATGTGAAGACAGCAGCACTTCTGTAGTGAGAAAGGGTAGAGAATATCCCAGGACAAGGCAACAGACTCAGCAAGCAGAGAAATGTCCAAGTGACAGAAATATTAGACCGTGAGGATTCTCGTGTGATCAGAGTACAGCACACATGGAGGTTATGTGGAAGTAGAGGTAAAGTAGGAGGTAACAAAAATACAGATGAGGCCAAGTTAAGAGGCTTCGTTAAGCACTCTGACTTAATTTTATTTGCTAGGTGGATTGGTTGAGTTTTTTGAGTCATGAGTGACATAATGATACCCATTTTAAGACTACAGCAGGATACCTCAAAAATGCAGCTACTAAAAATGGGAATATATGATAGGTGGATGCAAGTGATACTACTACCACACTCTAAAAAGCGTAAATGGCTTTCGAAGAGAAGTGTCATTTATTGATTCAATTTTTTTTTAAGTAACAGTCACTGCTCTAGGTGTTGTAGATAGAACAGTGAACTTGAATGATATAACTTCAGGCTGGTGAGGAAGAAAAAGATCAAACATACGTGGGGGAAAARGTTCCTTGAGTGCTATCAGGAAGGCAGAGAAACAGTGATCCATAGGAGAAACATTACTATCCCCTTCTGAAAAGAGTATTCCCTGATTATGGGGGACMGTGGAGGAAGCATTGAGGCATATTTAACCTAGTTAGCTGACTAGAAAAGGGGTTTTGAGTTGTTTCAGGGGACAAATTCTCTACTATGTGGCACATACCCAAGATATCATCTAGGGGAGTAGAGGRCTGAAGGCACTGTGAAAGAAAAATGAAACATTCCTGTTCGTCCCCCATAAAGTTCAGGCATTACTAAGCCCATTATATAAATGTCATACCTCTCCTCTGCCCTCGATCACCATTTCATTTTTTCCAATTATATTTATTACTCAATAAGCTTACCTAGATACAGTATAGAGATACTGGAGTCATGAGTATACATCTAATCTAATCACCATTTAGAGCCATCAGTTTTACTCTGCTTCATGGCCATAAACAGCTTCTGGATTCAATCRAAAGGCTCATAAGGGGCTGGGGCTGTGAGAGGCAATGGGTTTGATCCCCAGCACCACATAAAAAATAAATAAATAAAGATATTGTGTCCATCTACAACTAAAAAAGAAAGAAATATTTTTTCTAAAAAAAAAAAGGCTTATAAATGTGTTCCTTTAATCATTCAAGTCTTAAGGCAAGAATAAGAAGGAAAACTGGAAATTTTAGAAAAATTCACAGCAGATATGTTGCTATTGATTAGTGAATATCATCTTTGGAGTGTCATAAAGACAGCATCTTTGACAAAGAGAAGATGCAACCTTTACAAAGATACCATTGTCTAGTATAAGCCATTTCCCGGAATGTGGAAGTACCAAGAAATCACTTCCGGAATTACTAGGAATAATTTCTGAACTTATCGGCAGACAGAGTAACCAATCCATAGTTCAGAACAAAAATCATACGTACCTTAAAGCTCATTCTTCTGTAACCACTTAGACTGATTCTTTCCTTGCTTTCAGACAAAATTTTCTCAGTTAAAATTCTGCTTCTTTGAACACTCTGTGATTAAAAGATAAGTTTTAAATTATCTTGTGAAATACATTTAAATGCCTGTGATCACTGTTACTTCATAGTACAACAGTATTAGTAGCAAAATTTTAAAAACTATAAAAGAGGTAGAATTTTAGAAAACACTTTCTAAAGATGCATTAATGTCCAGCTATGGCCTCAATATTTGGGCCAAAACCCACAGTTTGGCTTCAGCATTGGACCTTAGCCAAATGGATACAACTGTATTATTTCTGGCATCCTTTATCTTGATTGATCAAGGATCATATGTTTTCATAGGTTAGCACTGAATTTATTTAGCATATTGACATGAGGATTATGAATAAGACATTATCTAGATTTATGGTCAATAAATGACTATTCATTTTCAAACACAAAGCATTCTAAACATGAATTAGAATGAAAATTTCCTTCGATGTTTTATACTTTGAATTCTAACCAATGACTAAATTATATATATATATATATATATACACACACACACACACACACACACACACACACATACATATATACTCATTCTACATATAGTGAGTCAGAGGAATGTCTACAATAATTATGATTATTAAGTGTGCTGCTTCTCTATCTTATAATGACTTAAATACGCTGAAAACACTAAAAGGTCTAAATCTGACAGCCTGGTAAATTCATAATTAGGTGGATTCATATTAAACCATGCTGTTGCTTTACTTGTTTGCTGAAATTCTTAGGTCCCAAAATCTAACATTTCAAATTGAAATAAAATAATCATAAAACATTTAAAATTAAATAAAAGTATCATGTAATTATCACTGACAATGGATAAGGCTATGGGTAACTTAGGGATCAACAGCACTGAATATTTATTCATCCTTTTATGCTTTTTGTTTTGGTACCTGGGATTGAACCCAGAGGCTCTTAACCACTGAGCCACATCTCCAGCCCATTTCTTATATTTTATTTAGAAACAGGGACTCACAGCAAACTACATGTTTCTTAGGGCCTCAGTTAGTTTCTTGAAGCTGGCTTTGAATTCGAAGTCCTTCTGCCTCAACATCCCGGGCCACTGGGATTACAGGTATGTGCCACTGCATCTGACCTTATGTTGTATTTTTAGGAAGTAGCTATAGTACGATTTAAGGTTAAGCGAATTAGTAAACATAACAGAAAGGGACTTGGATGCTTTCATCATGACTCTTCATTGACAAATACATGTTGTCATATGCTTGTGCAAGATATTACAAAATGATGAAATAGCCAGTATTACACATTTAAAATGATACTTTTAATGAAATGAAGACAAAACGCTTAACACCATATTTTATGACATCAAAATAGCAGAACTTATTAACAGTTAATGGTTATTTTAAAAAGAGAATATAGTTCATATGTTGGAACTTTGGAACTTGCTAAAATATTGTCCAAGAGTGCAATTGTAGTTTTGTTTGCATGACATGCAATGCAAAAATTTATCATCAGATCAATGCATGCTCATGACCTCTATGTGCAAGCCACCATTCTAGAGGCTGCAGCATGAAAAACAAAGTGCTGCTTTCAGAGAGCTTACACCCTGTATGAAGGACAGACATAATAAACATGTGTAGTTGATCCTTATTATTTGCAGAAATCAACTTCTGTAAAAACACTTTCGAGTACTGAATTAGTGAGCAATGCTTGTCAGCAAGTGAGTATCTGGTTTTCTTCATTCATCAATACATTACCTTATTTTATGAGTTTTCTATTTAAATACACCTTGTTTAATATATATTATCTACTCATTACCAATGAACTCATGACCTATAGCACTAGAGCTTATGCCTGAATGAAGCTGATCCAAAATGCTTTTTTTCTTTTTGAAGCACACTGCAGCCTTCTTTCACTTAGGAACACTTGCCAGCTCTTCAGCACCATGTCTGAGGACTGTTTTTAAACACACTTGACACTTCACATATGTGTTGAAACTGAGGACTTGTGTCTTTTCATTGTATTTGTTCTTTCATTCATCAGATAAATACATGCTGATCATCTCTATGTGCAAGCTGGTATTCTAGAGGCTGGGGGTGCCACAATGAATGAGAGCACAGTTGCTGCTCTCACGAAATTTACATGAAATGTGAAGTACAGGTATGAAGACATGAATTGATATGAATATACTGTGTATTCAACCAGAAATATGAAAAACTGTGCTCTATATGTGTAATAAGAATTGTAATGCATTCTGCTGTCGTGTATAAATTAAATATATATATGAAAAGATACAAGCCTTTGGTTTTAACAAGTTCATGCAGTGCCAGGAGGGATGAATGAGAAGAATTACAGTGTCTGACTACTTATTACTAGTACCTGATAATGACAAAAATAGAAATAGAATAGTATATTCTATTAATGATAAATGATTTAAAAAAGAATTTTATGCCTAATCCAATTGGAATTCAGGAGGCAGAGCAAAAGAAATAATACACATCCACGAGTATAAGTATTCTAAAAATGTATTACCCATAGATCTTCCCAGAAAGAATTAGTTAAAAATATAATAAGCAAAACAAAAATGACAGAAGAGAGGGAATAATGTAAGGTAAAGGAAATAGTGGTAAGAAAATAAATCAGCAAAGCTTCTAGCTAAATCTGAGTTATTATGATGCAGTAAGTAAAAGTTTCAGAAATTGAAATACTTAATGGACTCAGGTGGCAGATCACAGGAAGAAGTAAACATTTTTAAATGTCCTTTAAGAGAGGAAAGATGGATTCTGACTGACTCTTTTTTTTTAAAGAGAGAGAGAGAATTTTTTAATATTTATTTTTCAGTTTTCAGCAGACACAACATCTTCATTTTTTTTTTTTTTTTATGTGGTGCTGAGGATCGAACTCAGTGCCCGGTGCATGCCAGGCGAGCATGTTACTGCTTGAGCCACATCCCCAGCCCCTGACTGACTCCTGATGTGCTTAAATATGTGTGAGACTCTTTAAAATAGTAATGAAAAAGCAAAATCAGAGTATATTATATCCAGGCCACAGAATTTAAATAAAAGTGGTGGGGGGATACAAAAAAAAGGACAAGTTTAAGAAAAGGAATAAAAGGAAAAAATAAAACAAAAGGCAGAATCAATAACAAACATAACTTTCAAAACAAAAAAATACCAGTAAATTCAAAATATAAATAGGTTAAAATTTGCTTTTTAAAAATTAGAGTACATATGTTTTTATAGCTAAATACAACTTTCTATTCATAGGAACCAAGAGTCTTGGAAGAATGGTCTGGTTTCTTTCTGGTGAACAGAACTCGTGAGTTTGAGCCATCTCCTTGTGCCAGAAATCTTGTTGGATCATTTTTCTCCTGAAAATGGGGAATGAACAACCTCCAGTATTGATTTTCTTTTGGACYACCTTTCCAATGGGCTATGCCATGATCACCAGTTTACACTAATCCCATTCTTGCAACAATTTCTACTTTTTTCCCCAGACAATTTTGCCTACTCTCAATGCCCTATATCCACACTTTCCTATAAAATGCATGCCCATACTTTGTAAGCAAACATAAGTTTAAGAAGCATTGTATTAATCTAACATTCCCTCCGGTATCAGTTCAAGTAAAAGCATGTGTGACCAGTAAAGAATAAAGAAAAAGGAAATAGGCAGGGGGACCCTCCCAACAATGATGCCATTCTGACATCTGAGAAAAGGGATGAGAGAAGGACCACAGAGCAGTTCTGAGAAAGATCTAAGTCTCAGCCAAACTCGCTCACAAAAGCAATCCCACATCAAGCAAGAATGCATCAGTTCTAGAAACGACTTTGTGCTCCATCGTTGGCTAGAAGTAGCTGAGAGTAAGCATGCTCCTCTTAGAGTGAATATCAAGGCAGATCTCCAGGACAGCACCTAGAGGCTGGCAGTTAAGCATGCTCCTCTTAACAGATTCTCCGAAAGAGATGTGAGCAGCTTATTCCTGATGCCACACCTACTGATGTAAATTTATAGTCATCCATCTTTTGCATTAAAGCAATCTTTTTATATACTCATATTTTTAACCTTACCTTTTTAGCTCATGGCATCTTTATATGTATCTTTTACTTAAGTAAATAAAAACATTAGACTGTGCAGAAAAAAGAAAAGAAAATACAAACATAGACGTTAATCTTCCAAGATTTTAAATATACATACACTTGGACCAGAAATTCCAAACAAAAATATGTGTGTTATATATATATATATATATATATATATATATATATATATATTCAAGTATATTTTAAAAGAAAAAAATCAAGATGCAGAAAAATATAAATTGCAATTCTGTATGTGTAAAAACATCAATTTGCATAGCATAAATGACAACGAAAACATCTGAATAGATACAATTTTAAAAAATGCACTTACCAGTGGTTAACTTCAGGGAAAAAAGAACTAAAAGATGGTATTTAAGTTGGGAAATGTTCTATGCCATATATATCTTTATTTTTTAATTTCATTCATATGCTACTTGTTCAATTACTTAAGTATTTAACAGCCCTTGCCATTAAAAATGGCACAATTATTTTGCTAAAGAAAATAGTGGCATTTTAACAAAAGACAAAATGGAATTTTTTAGACAGAAATCACAAAGTAATTATTTGTAAGGCCAAATTAGCCATATGTTATTTATACGACACGTCAAAAACAAAGAAATGTAACAAAGAAAGGAACAAAATTAAAATATTCCTAGATACAAAAAAAGAACATAGGAATTAAAAAATTATAGCAGAATTCAAGCGTTAAATAGACCAAATTGAGTCACTTAAAATTAATAGGAGACAAAAATCTATAAATTCATAACCTTAAAATTCATAGTAAAGATAAAATGATTTCTTATCACATTAAGTAAACATATGGAGAAATGGACAAAACACAGCTTCATTCAAAACCCCCAATTAATCGAAGTCTTTAAGATCAAATGGAAGAAATAAGCCACTTAAAATGGACTCATATTATACAACAGTCAAAGCTATTATTAATTCAGCACTTGTATTTATTAGGCA